TAGGAGTCTGGATCAAGCAACATAGCTGGGGATAGAGTATTGCCACGATCCGCATATCATATTGTTTTGCTCGCAGGGTGGACGAACCGTAACACCTACAACTGGAACTTACCAAACGACTGATTTTGATGTTCTCCAAGACCTTGATTGCCGTATAATAGTCACCCAGGAGGCAGTGTAGCCGACACAATCCGATCAGACTGAAGAAACCAAGCATTTTGTACAGAACGCAGCGGCCGAACTCGTCTGCAATTTCATCCGGATCACCTGATTAGGGATCGAAGCAAAAGAAGTTATTAAAAGGTTGCAAACTGGGGTGCAACAACAAAGGGTGAATAGTTCGATCAAGTGCGGTCTAAATACCTCTTCTAACCTCAGACAAAGTAGTGAAGTTATGAATCAGAGGCGACAACTGGAATGTAGACATCTGCACAAAAGATAAGACATTATTGTGCACACCTTCGGCTGATCGGATTTATCGATCGTCTCTGAGCGCGTCCTCTAGTTCTTGAAACAGCTAACTCGCCCAAATGACCTAACGGGCGTTCCCATTAACCAGTTAGCAAAAGGAACCGGTGACGATAGGGGATTTTGAGCCAATTATCGCAATTGCCTACTGTCTACTAATACACAATTAGTAGCCACACAAAGACAATTTTGCACCGTAAGGCGACACCGAGAGCCTATGGTCTAATAGCAACCAATAACCTACTCACAGGTCTCAACAAAATCGTTGTGATCGGATTCTGTCATACCCCGGTTCATCGTATAGACATGCACCAAGTACAGTAGCTTCACACGCATTTATGTAGTCTCGGTTAACTCTAAAAAATTACCTGAAGGGGGCATTCCCTCTGCAAGGAACGACCCGACAGCACTATCTGACAGTCCCACCATAGTTTTCACTCCGAAGTCTAATGTAAGCAATCGCTGAAAAAGATAACAGTCATGTGTTTCCGAAATATGGTTTTTGGTAGTATACTCGGTCACTCTTGATTCGTATTGTGTTGCTTCACCTTGCTTTCCAGTTTTCATTGAAACAATTTGCTCCGAAGTCGATGTTAATGGCGCATAATTGGGTAGCAGGAGCATTGGCCGTTGAGTGCAATAAATATTTGAAAAAAGTAGGTACAACTGGGGAGAAGACTGATGGTTATCCACGGGAGACAATGAAACTGATTTGAGAGAAGTGTCCCCTTAACGAGTTTCCGACGAAAGAATTCTACGCAATGCAGGTGATTTCCAAGAAGCGGAAATACCCCCTATAAACTACACACCTATGTACATTGATACAAAAGACGATGGCCAGAATACGATAACTTCTAACCAATGTGGACCTTTTAGAAAAGGGTGCTAGTGTGAGATGTATGCGTCTAACAACCGGCCATGGCGTTTGGTTGGGGTAGGAAGGAACAGAAATTTTTTACATAAGGTCTTGAAAGGCTACACATGATTCATTTCGTTCACCTAAAGTACGTGTACCTTTAGGTTTCAGGTGGAATCTGACCATGACTCAGTGGTTAGAATTTACCGACCGGAAGGTCCGTGGTTCGAACCCGACCTCTGAATCATGACTTCCCCTGTCTAGGCTTGGGCAATCTGGCAGTATCCTAGCCCTCGGGCAGCCTTCGGGCGGCATGGCAGCTAGGCACCGAAAGGGTGTTACAGCAGAACAATTCACTTTTGTATTCACTATTAAAGATAAAGATAAAGAAACGGTGGGGCGAAATGGACCGAGTGGTTAGAGCGCGAATTTACTGACCAGAAGTTCCGTGGCTCGAGTCCGAACTCTGCCTCTCAACTATCCCTGTCTAGGCTTGGGCAGTATCCCAGCCCTGGTGCAACCTTCGGGTGGCATGGCAGCTAGACACCGAAAGGGTGTTACAGCTGAACGATTCATTTTTTATTCACTGTATAAGATAAAGAAACAGTGCTCAGAAGTGCCTCATTGAGTTTGTCACAGGTTTCTAGTGAATAAAATTCAGTGCAATCCACTGTATAACGTGAGTATAACACGTATAAAAAAGCGTTCAGCTGTAGCACCCTTCCGGTGCCTAGCTGCCATGCCACCCGAAGGAAGCACGAGGGCTGGGATACTGCCAGGTTGCCCAAGCCTAGACAGGTATAACCTTAGTGAAATACAAACTAGGCTGGTGTTAACAAGAAACTCAAATGAATTCCAGCTGAATCTCTCGTTTACAATAGCCAGCAGTCGTAGAGATAGTGTTATGTCAAGTAAGTGCATGTACCTTGTTTGGCGTAGTAGCACAACTGTTCGTTGATGTTGGATTTTTCAACCAGTGAATAGAGCACATTGAGTACACTGTGGATACTCCACACACGTGGATTGGCGTGCAACTGCGCCTCATCTTCTGGTTTGTGTTTCTGGCGCGCGCGGAAGTTGGAAAACTTTTGAAACTGATAGAGGAACTCGTCGATGATATCCCACAGCCATTGGTTTGGAAGTGTGAGAGACACTGGCTTTTCAGATTCTGTGAACAGCGATAAAAGACACATTAGTGGGATTCCTGGACCGACGATGACAAGAATGGTTTAATAGCGTATCTGTTGTTAACTACAGTACTACGGTGCAACTTCAACCCGTTTTGAGGTTCAAAATGTTTGTCTGGACCTTCCTAGTCGCTGATTGTCTTCTGGATGAATGGAAAACGAATCCTTATTACACTACTATTTCAAAGGGAGATAATCTGAGACACACTGGGAAGTCCACAACAGCGTTTCTCTTGGGTCTTCTCTTCAACGAAAACACGCCTTCCAGAAAAGATCAGCTATTTCCTTTTCGCCTGTGGTCCCTCAAGGAGGTTCTACATTCAGAAGCTCCGACAGACGCTTGATTTTAAAGGTAGACGGTGAGGTTTCAAAGTGGTAGACAGCCGTTGAAGGTAAATAATAACACTGGAAGAAAGGGTATCCTGCTATGCAGTCCGCAGCCCCGTTCTCAGTGAGGCCCGATATCCCGCGTGGTGGTTTCGTCTCACGGAACAACTGTATTATCGGCGGTAACGTTCGCAACGTTAATCTATTAGCAACCTGAAAATAGGTGTATGTCAACAGCAGGTGTTTGCCATGAAACAAAGGTAGGTTTCTTCTGCGTTCGTTACGCATTCAGAACCCCATTTCTGACGCACTCACCTATGACAGGAAAATTGGCTGTTAGCATTGTTGATGTACACTGTATTCTTTTATTGGTAGAACAAGTACAAAACAAACATAAGGTGAGGTAACGTTGTTGTTTCACGAAATCAGTCAAGTTCTGCAGGAACCAATTATGAGCCGTATAGATGCCGTATCAGACAACAGTAAGAAAGCTACTGAAGTCGCCCATATCGTTCAGAGCATCCAATTAAAGACAAGAGGTCATGTGGGTCCAATCCCAGAAAGTAGATCGCGAAAAACCCGAAGAAAAACAACTTTTCAAGAGCTAAATTTGAGCTCCTAACACGGCAAATGAAAAAGAAACCGTGAAATTACGGATGCTGACTTTCCCTCTGATAGAGTGCAGCTGTTTTCCAAAACAGAAGTTGGTGACGATGAATACACCAAGTTGACCTTTCTTAGCTTTCTACAATGTTTTGTCCCGTTCTACCGGACACCTAGCCGGACCTTGATGGCCGATTGGCCCTAAGAGATGGCCCTAAACGGGTTGCCCCACGAGGCAAGAAAGCCTACTAGTTTTGTACTGTGTTGCATCCCCAGTTGTTGATGTGATAAAAGTGACATACACCAAGACCAAAAAGCTAGCGACTTAGTACCAACTCACATCCACTGATAAAGTGGTTCAGGACACGAGTGGCGATTTATTTCGAAACCCGACTTCACTTCCCGAGTTTGTCCTCAACATTTTACCACCAATACTTTACTGTCCTTTCCTTATGACTTCTGTTTTTCCTCTACGACCAAGTAAATATATGGTAAATAAAGTATACCTAAAGAGTATGTAACTGGAAGAATGTGATGGAATACATAGACTAAAGGTATCGACCGGGGAAAGTACCATTACGGAGTATCGTCCGACACACGGATGCTCGTGCAAGAGAAACTTACGTATAAGTTTGTTGAACAGTGCACAATAATTCAGGTAGGACTGCACCATATCCTCCACAGACAAACTGGTGCTGAGATGTGCATACAGGTGGCGATAATAGAGTTCATTATATAGCAACAAGAACATGGGGTCTAGAGGAGGTAAGGCGTGAGATAATACAGTAATAAAGAGTTATACCATCAACAAGTTGGGCGATCACTTCACAAGAAGGCCAACGGGTGCTTCCAAAGTACTGTTCCGTGAGCTTCGGAAATCTATACAAATGTTAAGAGTAGGTATGGTACCGGGGTATTCTAAATGCGTACTTGACATGGTAGTCGTTTTCGACTTCCAATACGTTTTGTTCCCGAATATGGGCGTGAAAATTCACAATGAAGGAGCGAACATCCTCCTTCAGGCCGGAATAAGAGTCACCAAACATGTCCAAAATGCCCAGTTGAGATTTAAAGTATTAGGGCGAGTTCCTGCAAGCAAGGTTAAGAGAAACCGCAATGAGTACAGCGATAAAACAGTTGACGTAGAATGGGTTACAAGGAAAACACAGCGGGTGACGTATTAGGCAAAACAAAGTAAGTTGCCTAATCGATATCAGTGACATTCGTGCTGTCCATTTCTTTGTAGATTGTCTGATTGAACGCTTGGATGTGTATGTACCTCAAAATGCTTACGAGCGGCCAGCATCAGATCCGCACCCTCATTCATTCTTTTCAACTTAGGGTTTGAAGTATAATTAAATAAACTTTGTGGTTGTACGGCAGTTAAACATCACTGTGATGTTGCTGCCTTTGATGGCGACATTTTCGGCGCGTAGCGGCCACGCCACCCGGAGGAAGCGTAAGTTGTGATACTGCAAGGTTGTTCAAGCCTGGATAGGATCGAGCGAAAAGGCTAGGGTCAGACCCACATGGGCCAGATGATACCTTTGAACTCTCCAGCCATGGTGTGGAATGAATCTCGTGGTCGGCGCCCAACCAAGGGAGGCAGGCATCGCGACATAACCTAACTTGGAAATTAGGTGCGTGCATCTAAAGGAGACGAACGAGAAATATTACGACAGTTTGACTCGTGATGGTGTTTTAAAGACGACCCCAGAATGATCCCGTTCTGATACAATTCTCCGCTGAATATCGCGCACGGATCACCACTCAGTCGGTCGTCAGCGTTTTACAGTCTTTACAAAGCGTACAAGCCATTAAGGTCTTAATACCTTGCCACATCCCAAAAAACCTTCGCACCGTATTTCTCCTTTTTCGGTAACTTCGTCACTCCACCCACCAGTGTATTATCTTTAGGAAAAGTGTTACGGGAACCTAGTGAAATCGCTTTTCCAATCAACGCCTCTATGAGTAAATGACTCATTTTTCCATGTGATGGTTCAGTTCGATCTTCTGACTCCAGCTATACCGCGTAACAGTTGAAAATGGTTGTGGAGTTTGTAGAATTTGGATTCACATTACTGTCATGTTCTGCCACAGTTCTCCTGTCCTTGTGAAACCATTCTGTTGAATTCACACCACACGTGGCACGCGATGGATTCGAAGGTCATATGATTACAGGTCATCAGCAGTGTATTTTTGAGTGAGCCAGAAGTGGAAACCCGGGAAACATGATATACGAGGCGGGTTTGTTGCCACTACGCACGCGTATCGACCCATACACGGGTGTGATGTGAAGCAATATGCGTATTCCAGAGGGACCGGATGTCGAATAAAGAGCTACGTAGTAGCTAGTAGCTACGTAATAAAATTGAACCCGCGGTTGTTTGGCAGAAGAAAAGTGGCACAGTGACATTTTCTGGTGAACAACTGTTGGCTAGTGCAAATCTGTAAAAGAGGTTTGTAAGCATTGGGGCAAGCCCAAACATACCCGGATGAACTGAAACGCCCTCCGTGCTCACTGAAATATCCAGGGATGAGAGCCATATACGAAATCTGTATGATGGATACGACGGTAGTCACTTCTCAATAGGAAGTGTTTTTTCACAAATCGCTGCTGCATTTGGTTGAAGTACCTCCATCATTAGTTGGTTTAGGGTTCTCACCACCAATCATAATTATTATCAGCTGTAAAGGCCGTGTACTGTTGTACAATGTTGCCAAAGTTTCGTCCGCCGCTAAGTTGGGAAGGTAGTAATAGATAGCTATACACTAGAAGCCACAAATGATGCGTCAATGCAAAGGTGTCAGTGGGCTTTTCGATCGGGAGGTACACATTGAAGGCAATAGTTTCAATATTGTCTCTGCTGGTTCAGAACTAGAAATGACCATTTACCTCGCCGTGCATCACACACTGTACGTCCGGCTATAATAAGAACCCTAAACACTTCGAAGTCCGTTTTCAAACCCCGAAAGCAGGCCTACTTAGTCGCCCTTAATATTCACACACTGAAACAAGCAGGACAACAGGTAGCTCCTGTTCGTACGCTGGATTTCCTCTACATTGGTGTATGCTGTCACTCAGAAACAAAAATACAGAATGCTGCAACTCTGATTATGCAGACGCCGCTGCAGCTTTACAAGTTGGGGTGGGTGTTATAGTAAGCGACCGAGTGAAAGTGTCTTTACTTGACTGGATAACCGTTGACAGTCGCTTCCGGGCGGTTCATTTGGTAACATCTACGAAAGTCTCCAAAACGTTAGGTCCTCCGCACACTGTTTATTGTGTCTGTTTACGCCCCAACCGATTAGCTCTAAATCTACAAAAGTTTCTATGACGCTCTAGGTGCTCCTTTACAACAGACTGAAAGCTCAGGTATAGTTGTCGTTGCTGGCGACATGAACGCCCTGGTAGGTAGACTAAGCATTGATGAAGCCCCACTGGTTGGTTGTCTTGGATTGGACAAATCGTTCAGCTGTAGTACCCTCTCGGTGCCTGACTATCATGCCACCTAAAGGTTGCACGAGGGCCGGGATACTGCCAGGTTGCCAAAGCCCAGACAGGGGAAGTCGGGTACGAATAACGGACCTTCCAGTCAGTAAATTCGCGCTCTAACCACTTGGGCCACCTCCCCTGACACCAGACGCACGGAAAACGGAGACCACCTGCTTCAGGCGCATGTCTATCACAGACTGTTCCTTTACCGTACTGAATAGCAGAATAGCGGAAATCGCTTGTCAACGTGGTGCCCACCAAAAAAGCAGCCCCGAATCCAAATCTACTATATCGCCACCAGTTATCGGTGTCGAGGGTCGATCACTGTCTGCCGCTCCTTCTGAAACACCAGTGTGGACTCCGAAAATTCACTTACACGCTGCTGCCTTTCATTTCGCCCTTCAGGTTCATGCAAAACGCGCACAACTCACTTAGTCATTAAGAATCTTATGGACCCGGAAATCAACGAAAATATCAGATCCGGTTCCTCGAAAAGATGCCTTAAGTGATAATCAAAGTCAGAACTTCTGCATGCGAGAAAACTCAACCAATCTCATCCACACATAGAATCTCTGGTAGAACCGCGGCTTTGCTGGAGGGCCGGCGACAGATTCCCTCTGATCGCAACCCCAACTCCACGCGATGCCTCATCCGACACCAGATGAAACTGAGTGTCCATGCAGAAAACGCAAAAATAATAAAAATTTCCACAATCTGTTCCAACCGATTCGTTAGGCTGGTCCTCGGACGCTTCTTGCCGGAGAAATTACCAGGAACTAAAGTGGCTCCTGATGTGAAAAAGCGTTCAGCTGTAGCACCCTTCCGGTACCTAGCTGCCATGCCATCCAAAGGAAGCACGAGGGTTGGGATACTGCCAGGTTGCCCAAGCCTAGACAGGGGAGGTCGAGTGGCGAAGGTCGGATTCGAGCCACGGACCTTCCGGTCAGTAAATTCGCGCTCTAACCACTTGGGCCATCTCGCCACCTTGGCCACCTGCCACTCCTACTCCGGAATCATGGCCTTCATCAGAAAGGTGAACCGTGAATATAGAGTCACCTTTAACCTCAGAAATGTCCAAGCGTATTTCATTGCTCAAGCGTCATCGCGCTGCTGATCCTGACGGCTTTCCACCTACTCTGTTCGAGGATAGCAGTGGGTTTCTCAGCCAGTACCTGTCTAGTCTATTTAGGTCCCACACAATGGGGGTGAATCGATAATGGTGCCCATTCTAAAAAATGTCACCCGCAATGAATGCAGTAACCAGAGGTGTTGGTTTGACACTGCTGTGACAAGGCTCCTAGCTCTAAATTTTCTTCGTCTTACGGTGGCATGTAGAACCTTGGCTTGTGAGAATCAAGTGGGATTTCGACCGAGTGGAGGCGGCGTTGACCACACCGGTGTTAGAGCAGCACCACAATTACGGACGACCCATAATCTTGGTGTCCCTTGACTAAAAGGGTGCATTCGATTGTCGGTCGGTCAGTGCTGTTAACTCCAATCGATCAATAGGGTATGCCCTAGAAGTTTGTGAAAATGATTTGGTCCTTATATTCACATACCTCTGGGCGTGTGGAGTGCATGGTGGGCTCTTTAAAACTTCCCTACAAGTGGCATCCGATAAGGAATTCCTCTTTCTCCCTTCTAGCTTAGTTTCGTCACTGATGAAATACTGAAGGGAACGATTGGAGGTTTCCAAAATTCCAATGTTCAGATTGTTTCTGGTGCGAACCTTGTCTATCTTGAGTATGCAGACGACATCGCCCTCATCGTTGAAGACCAAGGTGAAGCACAAGCCCCGTTGAATACATTGACCACCGTCATACCATTTTTCGGAATGAGCTTAGCATCTTTAAAGCGTTAGGCATAGCCATAACTGTATCTCTAACTCAGAACGGCTGACCGGTGGCCTTCGTTTCTAAAACACTGACAGTGAGCGAAAAAGAACCACTCTGCTACTGAGGAAGGAGCAAACACCATCGTTGAGTCTATCCGTAAATGGGAAAAATTATCTCTTCGGGAAACACTTAAAGCTTTTCACCAACCAGTTGTCAGCTTCCTCCATGTAATGTCGCAGAAAAATCATCCTGTGACTTGTCTATAAAAACTTGGTTAACTACTACAGGAACTGTTTTGCTGAGATTTGAACGTGCCTTAAAGTATGAACTAATCGTTGAGGAAGTCGAACTCAAATTACAATCCACATTGCGCCCACGTTCATTTCCAAGCTGAAAAGGTACCGTATCCATCCGCCATCTCGATCCTTGTGGTGACCGCACATTTGTCAACCACTTCACGCGTACTTCATCTACCGGAGGGGCAACGACGCTCATACACATCTATCTGACTAGCATGCGCTTCCGCTCAGTAACGCTTAAGGTACTGTCGGTCATCGTTAAGTCTCACTCACCGGAACCGGGCGATACACCTGCATCTCCAAATACATACGACCCTTAGATCTTTGATTTAGCCAGGCTTCAGCAATGTAGACGACCCTACACTTTAGGGAACCGAGAAGTCTGACCACACTTTTCACCACCCCTTAATAGATTTCACAACCAATCTTTATTCAGTCCCTGTGTCCACGTTATCCCTCTCTACACACAATCCAACGTCCCGGGTGAATGTCATGACTATCCTCTGTGCTAACATTATCGCTTCGCATCGACCATGTTTTCGCCTTTACTTTCAGCTTACGTACGTCTATTCTTCGACAAGCGCTATTCATTCTACGCTTTTCAATCTTGTTCTCGCGCCCGATCAGAATCTAGAACGCATTTTTTCTGACCATACCCCTAACAAGCCAAAGAGAATCACTGGAGATTGTGGAGAATTTTGCATAGCCCGACAGCTGTATTAGCTCTGAGGAAAGTGTCTGATGAAGTCAGTACAAGAATCTCAAAGGCTCGAATCACGCTTGTTAATTGGCGTCATTTGTGGCGCCATACATACATCATACATATAACTGGGTCTCAAGGGTCACGTGTATCAGGCTACACTAAGGGCTGTGCCGCTGTATGGGTGCGGGACGTGGTTCCTTCGGACAGATGATGTGGGGCATCAAGTTTTTGACCACCGATGCCTCAAAAACGTGGCTAGTTGTGGATGGCATCAGTGTGTTTGTAACGAGGTGATTAGAAAACGGGTATTTGGTTGTTCTGCAGGCACCTCAGTCCGGGAAAACATCCAGCATCATCGACTACGATGGCTCGGTCATCTGCTGCGTATGCCGAAACACCGTCTACCGAGACGAGTGTTGTTCTCCGTGCCTCCTTCAGGATGGCTCAAACTGCGAGGTGGACAGCACATAACTTGGCAGAAAGGTATGAAAGAGATCCCGAAGAGTTTGTGTGTTGTTGGAGTTGTACGCCTTCCAGGGTGCGGTCTCCGTGACCCCGTCTGTGCTGGGCTGGAGACGTTGTAAGGAATGGCGGCTAATCGATGTCAGTGGCGTTCGTGCTGTCAGTTTCTTTCCAGATTGTCTGACTGGGCGGTTGGAGGTGTAGGCACCTCAGAATGCCTGACATAAGCCAGCACTAGGTCCCCTCCCTCACTCACTTTTCCCTCTTTTTTCACCCTAGGACTTTTAATATAATTACATATGTATAGACGAACCTTATGGTTGTATGGCAGTGAAGCATCAGTGCCAACACTGATGTTGCTGTCTTTGATGATGATGATGGCGGTGGTGGTGACGATGATACAGTTGCCCAGTTAGACAAATTCATCTGCTACCTCAGTATGAATTTGGGGTTCGAGCCGACCAGGTCTCGCAGCAGCTCTCTAACGTAAACGCATGCCAAACTGAGAAACGAACTAAACACTGCCTCAGGAAAGGCCGATAATTTATGCAGGTTAACTTTGCCCGGAGGCACTCACTGTGCCTGACGGTCTACAAAGGAAAAAGGCAGCTTCCAAGTCAAGAGAAACAACCATTATTGGTTGCCGAAAGCTGCTTTGCTGTTCGATAACCTTTTAGAGGGCGAAAATGTGGTCAATCTATCCTCTTTCGGGACGTGACTCAGCTTAATTTTAATGGATCTGCCTCTACCTTCAAAGGATAAGACCAGCGCGAGCACCTTCGATACAGCGGCTAAGAGGACAATGTCACGGTGGTTTTCACACAATGGAAGCATCAGTGCCAACACTGATGTTGCTGTCTTTGATGATGATGATGGCGGTGGTGGTGACGATGATACAGACAGTTGCCCAGACAAATTCATCTGCTACCTCAGTATGAATTTGGGGTTCGAGCCGACCAGGTCTCGCAGCAGCTCTCTAACGTAAACGCATGCCAAACTGAGAAACGAACTAAACACTGCCTCAGGAAAGGCCGATAATTTATGCAGGTTAACTTTGCCCGGAGGCACTCACTGTGCCTGACGGTCTACAAAGGAAAAAGGCAGCTTCCAAGTCAAGAGAAACAACCATTATTGGTTGCCGAAAGCTGCTTTGCTGTTCGATAACCTTTTAGAGGGCGAAAATGTGGTCAATCTATCCTCTTTCGGGACGTGACTCAGCTTAATTTTAATGGATCTGCCTCTACCTTCAAAGGATAAGACCAGCGCGAGCACCTTCGATACAGCGGCTAAGAGGACAATGTCACGGTGGTTTTCACACAATGTTCGCACACCCTTTTTGAAGATAGGAATGACTGTCAATGCGCGCCATTCTATAGGCACTTTTACTTCATTTCGAATAGCGCCAATAAGATTTATCATACACTTATCTAGGAATTCTCCTTCTTTGAATAGGGCTGGATACATACCCTTCAGTCATGGTGCCTTCCCACGTTTCAGCGGGCATATTTCGCACTATTTCTTCAAGCCGGCGATTAGGATTTACATTTCACTTGCCAGCGTTCACTGCCTCAAGGGGATGTCTTGCAGGAGGCCCATTAAAGTGTTCAAAGTATTTGGCTCAACTTTCCAGACGGCAGTTTTGTAAGTAAATTTGTGGACCGCCTTCTTCACTTATCGTTTCATTGACCTTTAACCAGTCGATCGTAGTAATGGTACGCGGCACAGCCGTTCACCGTGGTGAAGTGTGACAGACGGGACTCGAGATGGACCTATCTCCTTCAGCCAGCAGTGGACTTATTGATACATTTACCTTTAAATGTGTGCATACTAGAACATGCGGCACAATGCGCGACACGCACCACCCTAAGCCCACCTCCCGGGAAGCATCTCAGAATCGTGTAGTTGTACGGGATCTCTTCAAAATCACTCCTTATAAGTCTTGAGGCAACCTTTGTACGGGGAAAAATGCCAATGATAATAATAACAATCACTATCATCAGTATCACACCGTGTGCATGTTGTACTGCATATTTTCGTTCGTTCGTTGAGTCGCATGGCGGTCGCGTGGGCCCCCCGGAAACTGAGACGAAATGCCCGGACGACACGTTCATCTTCCACATCATCCACGTGGAGGGTAATAGGAATTTGAAGAGGGATGCATCTCTGAGGGGGCGAATCTCTCATCCAACTATTTCCAGACTAGCCAAACTGGAAAAACGCAAAAAGCGCCATGAAAGGATCTCAGTCTGGGGCAGAGCGCCGAGCGAAAAAGCTCAGCTCTGATTAGTCCCTACCCTGACCAATCAATCCTAAGGGGCGCATGGCCACGGATGCATAACAATAATAATAATCACAATGTTTATTCCCAACTTGTGGGTGGCATGCCGTCTGGCATGATCATGCGTTTACAGTCAGAATGGGGCATGACTGAGGGATTTGCGGGCAGTGAGCATTGCGCGAAAAGGGGACAATGTCATAAACAGTGGGAGGTACTCGATTAAATAATGATAATATGTTTCTTTTGCAACTTGTAGGGAACAATAGGCATGAGGTCCGAGTAATTCAGTGACTCAGTTGGCTGACATGAACTAAAACTAGAAAACCGTTGCTGGCCATGAGTGACCTTGGGCGGTTGGGTAAATGGCCGGAGTCATAACAAGCAGCTTAACCAGGAAATACCCACCTCATGACTCCCGAGGAGATCGAAACTGGTTTTGGGCTGTCGAATGGTTTTCAGCAGCCTGTGAGTAGTGTGTCACGTCAGAAATTTTTTTAAGTTTTATTCATTTTTCCCTTTTTCAGTTTCCCCTTTTCACGTGTGACGGAACGCCTAAGTGTCTTTTTTCCTGTCTGTCCTATAACTCTTCTCGTCGTTTTCTATGTCATCCCATCATTGTTCCCTTTTCGTACATGAGCAAAGTCCTTACACCAGTTCACTTCGTTGCTTCTCAACAGTGCCCAATAAAATCTACAACGAAGCTGGCTGCTGGAGGCCCAGCTCCACTCACTTGTTGGGGTTTCCTCGGAAAGACCGTCGGTATACAGTTCGACCACTGTATCATACAGGGCTGCTAGTACCAAGCGAAGAAAATGCGGCAGAAAAATGGAACCATTTTCCAGAAAGTTCACGAGGCTGACGCGAGGTTCGTCCCAAAAAACCAGCACGCGTTCGGATGAGCCGCAGGCTGCCCAAAAGGATTTGGCGACTTCTGGAAAAAGGAAAGGTCCCAACTTTTTTCGAAAAGTCGACTTCAGGGTATACAGAAGATGAGCTGGCATTTCGTAAAATGCGGAACCGCTTTAAGGCGGAAATCCGCCAATGGAACATACGAAAACAAGCCGCCAAACTAGGCCTCGCTCTGAAAAACAAAAACATA